TTGGTAGAGAAAATGAATAACACTTTCAGAATTCATCTAATATAATTTACATATAAAATTATTTGAAAATGTCAGTTATCTTTTTTATATAGTTCCACTTGCTTCTCTCCAGTTTGGAGGAAAGTTTTCAGTTTTCTACATTGGTTTTGAAAATCTTCACTCATCTGTTCTAAACTCGGCAACTCTCCGCCAAAATCGACAGGCATGCATGATGCTGGAATATAATTCTCAAAGAATTCCTCCATTTTGGTGTCTGGAGGGTGAGAAACTATCTAAAAAAAAGGAAACGATTTTGAGATGAAATAGTTTCCTAATAATATATAAATATTTGTGTTGGTTCTTATAATTATTTGATAGGTGGCGACCATTTATTCCGGAGGCATTAAGTTGAGGATCATCCAGTTAAAACAAATGACCGATTTTATGCCTCCAGATGTTATGGTGAAGCAAGTTTGCCAGAATGATACCAGTTGTTCAAGAGACATCTCAATATTTTGTCAGGTACAGCAAGGCATCTGAGAAAATGCAAGATGAGCTGATGCGATGTTGTATCAAATGGCTTGCGGTAATCATTCCAAGTTTTACTGTATCGACTCCTGCGTTATACAGTGCATTTCTTTAATGTCTTGGAAAAAATATTAAATGGAAAGTGGGGTCTTCTGACACATGTTTTTGAAGCTCCTGTCANGTCCAACACTAGGGACTCATATACCTATACAAACACTAAATATTTTTACAAATTAATTCGGAATTTTTGTTTATTACATTTTTTTGAAGTATTCGGTTGCTCATTGTAAAACATCATACACCTTTATAATGAATCGAATTTTGCCCAATATTTGTTGGCAATTTCATTAATTTTAGATTTCCTAAATATCTTGTCAAATGGTTCTGTTGGTCACCATTGATTTTTTGAAAGTCAAATTTGAATGTTTGAGCTTATTTTTGGCCAAATGAATGAAGGTACATAATTTGAATTTATGTAAGGATGACAAACCCAATAGTTTTTTTGGTTTATACAAGTTGACTGTAGTCTCCTTGTAGTTCAACTTGAATATACACCTTATGATTTTGTTATGACGTTTTTTAATTGGTTTCAATAACGAATTTGTTGCCATTCCCTATACTGATATGAGATATTATTTTTGAACTAATTATATCGCCAATATAGACATATCGCTTTCTTTTCATTAAATAATTTTGAAACTAATTATAAACTAAACCTCGGATACCTATATTATGCATTACTTTCAGTATTCAATGCTTTCTTCAGGTCTAATGAAAGAACTCCACATTTTTTGTTCGAATCTAAATCTAGCTGTAATTGGGTTATGGCACTGTTGAGGTGTTTTTTTTATTTTTCATGAAAATCGTTGTTCCAAAAGTTATTCAGGGTGGCTCGTTTTCAACTAAAATAATTTGTAGCTTCCGAACCATAAGCTTCAGACCATATGTTTTATATTTTGTTGAAATCTGCTCAATATGAAGCATATAATAATGCGAAACAATATAGGGTGATCCATTTAAAAAAAATGGTAACATGCTCTGGGGGTGAGATAGGGAAAATAACATCAAATGTGAATATGTCAAAATGTGTCGCCCTATATGCTATGGTTGACGTGTTTTTTATTTTTTTCTGCAAATCATTGTACTAAAAGTTATTCAGAATGGCTTGTTTTAAATGGAATGCACTGTATATATCGTACACGTATATCTTATAGTGTAGCATCACCTTATAACTGACAGTAATGACCTTTTATGAAATCCACTCATACAAAAGTATGTTCACAACTATCCATTTTGATTTGAAAATAACATAATTTGAAAGTACATAACTATCTATAAACTGAAATGCGATCTTGATCCTTGAACCTCTAAGTAATTCACTACATAAAATAAAAATGCGGTCTTGACCCTCGAATTGATTCACTACGTAAAACAAAACCAACGCATTTGCAACCTTTCTTCATGTGTCTCGCATCGGTTGTGATGCAGCTTGAATTTATTTTGTCGCAATTATCACGTGTTTAAGGTAACTAACGTTACCTAAAGATATGATTAATATCAGTAACTTGTCGTCAATCAACAACATTGACATAATTTCATATTTCAAAACTCCTTTGACATCTGTCGAAGAAGTAAAGAAATAAATAATCAAAAAGGAATAACTGTCAATATATTACAATCTTTTTGTCCATTTCTGAAGACGGAGGCAGATTTCGGCCTCCGAAAAGTTAAGATAAGTATTGTATTATTTCTTAACAATTTTTTTGATAGGCAAAATTGTTAAAACCTTCTACACTTGTATAAAGTTCTCCATTATAATTTTTATATTTATCAGATTGTGGAAGGTAACAAATACCCAGAAAAGGTCGATAAAAAAATGATTTTTTCCTCCACAAAAAATGACTTTCGTTGAAGATTATTTTCAGAATATAGTTCTGTATTATGTTCAGTTTTTGCAAGAAACTCTTATATATTGCTCCCCACACCATAATACCATAACGAAAAAGTGATTCAGCTAGATATTTGTAAATTAATATGATTATATTTTTCGGTAGAAACTTTCGTAGCTGGTAAAATTTATATAATAGCTTCCTCACTTTTTTGTCAGATAGTCAACATGATTGTTCCATTTTAAATTATTATCAATAACTATGCCCAAATACTTGACCTCGTTTATTTCTTTAATTTCCTCCCTTATACCTGGAAATTCAATATTAGAGAAATTAGGTATGTTTGCTGATGTTATAGAGAAAGTAAGATAGTGGGTTTTACTAGCGTATTGTAATGGGTATTGTAAGCTATCCTTTTCCTATAAACCTATAATGGGAGAACAATGTGCCGGTAATTACTTCGTTATATAGGGCGTTCCAACGAAAACTTGACCTCCCATGTAAGTCAGGGGAAATCGAAAATTTCAAAGAACAGGTCAATTTTTATTTTTAGGAGGACTAATTCTGATATGAAAATCATACCCGAAACTTCACATCCCTTCGGATAGGATGCTATCGTTATACAGACCCCTCTTTCCCAGTGGGCACTTTGGGCAAGCGCCCACTGCGCGATCGATAGGGGCCCCCCTCAGATCAAATTCAAAATCCTTTGTTCCTGTCAGATCATCAAACGATAACCAATATTTATTACCAAAAAACTTAGGTATATAATTCGAAGAAATCAAACCTACATTACTGACTACAATACCAACTTACTAGTTTTTACATGCGCGAAGCTATTCTATTCTCGCCCAAAAATTAGGCTTTCCGACTTCAGCATGTTTAAATCAATTTCAATATATAATGGTATACTAAGTACATACACATTTTAAAGAAAAATCATCAGTAGTAGGTACTCTCATCAGTGTGACTCACTCCATGTAAATAGAGCGAACGAAGCGAAGTATGAAGCTCCAAGTTTGAATTAACCATGCAATCAATTTAATTGAGAAATTACATAGAAAATTGAAACCAAACTCTCCAAACCAATTCTCCAACCTAACTGACTAAAATCCCCCCATGCCCCCTCCCGGGTAGAGTGCCTTGAATTAGAAGCTTCCCCCCCAGCTAGTTAGCGTGGAGAACCTACTACCCCACTCCATCCACCCCGTTCNATGACCATCTCCGATTTGGGGATAAGAACGGTCCACCCTTCAAACCAATCTACCCAACCATGAGTTGGCCAGATGACGGTAGGTGCTGGTTTTATTTTCCACCAATAAGTGTTGATCCAGATCCATCTGCGTCTAGAGCAGCAAAGTTCTTGGAACACATAAGCTCAAGAAGACGAAGTTTTCCTGAAATGTGGTCGTCTGAGTCGAGTGGCTTCAAGTTTTCATAAATGCTTATGCTCTTTGTATAAGCGAGAAAGATTCTTGCTGAACTCAAGGTTTTCCGAGGTACTTCTCACTCGACTCATTAGTGACTATTTAACAGCTACTAGCATCCATATCATATCAAGGCAGTGTTGCTTGGTAGTCAGCTACATGTCCTGACTCGAAGTGTAATGGATACGTCTTAATTTGGCGGCTATTTGCCGTATTGCGGGCGTAAAAGGCCTGTTAGCTGCACTGTAATCTATCACATATTGGATACCAGAAGCGTGTTGTCTCACTAACTGAATCTTAGCTTCCATTTTGTGTACCCGCGGTTCAAGTACCCCGAACCACAAGGCCGTGATTTTGTTCTTTCGATTCGGAAAGCGAACAGCGAACCCCCATATCTAAACGAGCCAGCCGCGTCAACGGGTAGTACAATTGCCATTCCCATCACTCGTCAGCAGGTTATTGGTAGCTATATAGCCCTGCCGACGAAGGTAAGATTAATAACCCCTAAGATTTTTGGCGGAAAACGCATGATGCTTCGGATGCGTTTCACACATCTCGGCATGTAACCGCGCGAACTAACCACTCTCGTAGCAATGCACAATGCTATTATCCATTAGCTCAATCATCCATTCGAAAGAGTCCGTGGGCCCTACCTCCTTGCTCTTGACGAGCGGGTCTGTTGTGGGGGTCCTTTCCTCGCATTCTAGGAACCAAGTTTCGGGACTATTCTGTAGACTCACGACTGGCTTTTGAGAGAGATTATTGTTCACCCTCGTGATGGGTGCGTCTTAGCAGCCTGTCCGGTTTTGCACCCACTAGAAAACATCAAATTCATAAAACAAGTCAATAAAGGAAACCGTATGGACATTCGTATTTTCAAGAAACACTTTATTGTGACATTTTCACTTAACAGTTTTATAAAAACGCAACACGTGTTTCGCTGTACAAAAGCTTCTTCAGGCTTGCCTATTCATCCTGAAGAAGCTATTGTATAGGGAAACACGTGTTGCATATTCGTAAAACTATTCAGTGGAAATCTCACAATATGGTGTTTTCTGAATACATTATGGATTTTCATAAAGTATTGGACGATTCCATCCATACTTGAAGATAAAAATGAATAATGGAACTTTGGAATCTTTTCTGGGAACTAACATCACATTTTTTTTTATTTCAGAGAGAGATAAATGTTGCAAAAACTTACGTAATTTTCATGAAAAAGGTAATTGAGAATGGAAACGCTTTTGTGGCCCAAGAAGTAAAACGATTGGGAAAAATAATTTCTGAAGGAAAAGTGAATGAAAAGAAGAGGACAGAACTGTCACATCGTTTGAATATTCTGAAATCATTCAGTTTGGATTCTTCAAAATCAGAACTATGATGGAGGTGGATTTTGTATCTTTATTTAGCTGTGTTCATTGGGTGTTTTGTTTATTTCTCGGTATTACATAGAAAGCGAGTCGTTGCAATTTGAGCTGAGTGAAATAAGTACCTTTTCTGTGAA